CCGTTTGTGTGATTTTCATTTAATCGATTTTTATGTGGCCGGAGTTTTTACCTTTTCCCTGTCTTGTTATTATAATGTATTCTGTCTTATCGTGATTGAAAACTAGTCCCCGTTTGTGAGATGCTTCTATTAAGAGAAACCTCACCGGTTACAGTAACAAATAACACATGATGTTGTTTTGTCTGCCTCCCATCCATCTTCCTGCATGCCTCGATGGCAAATTTGTCAATGTGGGCTCTAGTCTGGCAAACGTATCGTGGGTTATCTCTGGTCCTAGTGTCTGTTTGTTTGCCATGCCCCACAATACACCACTGTTCAGAATGGAAGCCGGTATATATGTGTAATTTTAAGTATGTGTATTTGTGCGTGGCAGGGCGTCCTTACCCTCCCCCCCCCCTTTTTTTCCATTTTTTGTTTTTTAAGGATTTCGATTGGACTGTACAGTGGAACCTCGCTTAACGAGCATAATTCGTTCCAGAATCATACTTGTTAAGCGAAACACTCGTTATGCGAAACAATTTTTCTCATATAAATTAATGTAAAATACGATAATGCGTTAAATGTCGAAAAAAATACTTACAAAATGCTATGTATAAGTTATACTATAACATTTATTTAAAGAAAATTATGTACATATTTAAGGAGAGTGAATCATCTTCCTCTTTTCTTCAAACGCGGAACGAACCCACATGGAATGCGAATTCAATTTGCAGAAAAAAAGTTGAAATAATTAGGATACATAGCTAATTATATTTTTACTAGAAAGATATCCAGAAACATTTGTTTTTGTCGACGCTTCAAAATTTGGCAAAAATGCGACACAGCATTATCATTAAATTTGCAACGCGCATAGCCACTTCCTTATTAGGGTGATGCTTCTCAATGTAAGATGCAACAGTTTTCCATGCTTTCAGCATTTATCTTATTTGGCCAGAAGATTGTTGCTTTTCTGTTACCTCCTCCTCTAACAAACTTTCCTCTAAAAACTTCTTGCTGTGAAACACAATGCAACTCCATAAGCTCTTCGGTGGTCTGCTCTTGGCTGTGCTCTCCCACAAGCTCTTCGATTTCACTGTTATCCACCTACAATCCCATGATAGTGGCCGAAGGCACAATCTCGTTGACAAGTCCCACAGGTACTGTCTCAAACCCCTCAAAGTCACACATCGACAACGCTCTCCGGCCAAAGCTTCTTCCAAGCAGTAGTTAGGGTTCCCTTGGTAACCTCTTCCCCCGCCTTGTCGATCATCTTGAGGCAGGCAATGATGTGGAAGTGATTTTTCCAAAACTCTTTGAGAGTGAGGTTGGTCCCTTCAGTCACTTGAAAACAATGCTTGAAGAGTGCTTTAGTGTAGAGCTTCTTATAGTTAGAAATAACTTGCTGGTCCATGGGCTGGAGTAATGGAGTGGTGTTGGGAGGCAGAAACTGGATCTTGATTAAATTGAATAAATCAGGGAAGTCATCTTGTAGGCCTGGAGGATTCATGTAAATATATCACAATATAACACAAGTTAGAGAAAATGTGTGATCACACGCGACACTACGATGCTACTGGAACGAGTGCTAAACACAGACTGATGTAACATGCGCACAATTCGGGACTTCCCCTCTTCTCGCCACTCGTTATGCGAAACGTCGCTCGTTAAGCGAGTCATTCTTTTACAATTTGTTTTGCTTGTTATACGAATTACTCGTTATGAGAGGTGCTCGTTAAGCGAGGTTCTACTGTATATTGAAGGACAGATGGAACACGCATTCTACTGTCTGAAGTGCCTTCCTGTAAACTCTTTTAAATTTTTTCTTTCCTGTATTCTTTTATTAATTCTTTCGTCCGTTTGTTCTTTCCTTTCTTAGAAACTTCAGCTTGAAAAATACCAATGAATTATTCACTTCAATTTCTCAACAGCAAATTTAATTGTCCATCGGGACAAATGGAAGTGGTCTAACAATAACGGGGGCAACATTCGTTGATGGCTTTGTCATAATTATCACAAGTTCTCATCAATGGGAAACCAAACAAAAACATGACAGGGTTTTCAGAGAAGCCCACAACGAGGGTATATAAATCTCCAGACAGTCTCCAGATGTCTACATTCTTGAGGGCAGCAAAGATATTAAATCTGTCTGTGATTTCTTTTAAACTATACGTGCTCGAGCTTGACTATACCAGGTGAGGGTTCTACTGATATTACACTATTTCCATTACATCAGCGGGCAGTCGATATGTATTACGTGGGTATTACACGGGTATTACGTGGTATTACACGGGTATTACGTGATATTACGTGGGTATTAAGTGGGTATTACGTGGGTATTACGTGGGTATTACGTGGGTATTACGTGGTATTACACGGGTATTACGTGGTATTACACGGGTATTACGTGGGTATTACATGGGTATTACGTGGGTATTATGTGGTATTACGTGGGTATTACGTGGGTATTACATGGGTATTACGTGGGTATTACATGGGTATTACGTGGTATTACGTGAGTATTACGTGGGTATTACGTGAGTATTACGTGGTATTACGTGGGTATTACGTGGTATTACGTGGGTATTACATGGGTATTACGTGGGTATTACATGGGTATTACGTGGTATTACGCGGGTATTACATGGGTATTACGTGGTATTACGTGGGTATTACATGGGTATTACGTGGTACTACGTGTGTATTACGTGGTACTACGTGTGTATTACGTGAGTATTACGTGGGTATTACATGGGTATTACGTGGGTATTACGTGGGTATTACGTGGGTATTACGTGGGTATTACGTGAGTATTACGTGGGTATTACGTGAGTATTACGTGGGTATTACGTGGTATTACGTGGGTATTACATGGGTATTACGTGGGTATTACGTGGGTATTACGTGGTATTACGTGGGTATTACATGGGTATTACGTGGTATTACGTGGGTATTACATGGGTATTACGTGGTACTACGTGTGTATTACGTGGTACTACGTGTGTATTACGTGAGTATTACGTGGGTATTACATGGGTATTACGTGTTATTACGTGGGTATTACGTGGGTATTACGTGGGTATTACGTGGGTATTACGTGAGTATTACGTGGGTATTACGTGAGTATTACGTACTTATTACGTGGGTAATACGTGGGTATTACGTGGGTACTCACAAATCGGTTCTCTAGAGCATATCCACCCTGCCTGTAAAGACTGAATCCCGTGGATTGTGCGGATGAAACCATTTATTTTTCAACAGACTTAAGGGCGGCTACCAGTAGGTTCTGTGGGGTGTTCCGAGCAAAGCCAGGCAGTTAAGGGCGGTTCTGTGGGGTGTTCCGAGCAAAGCCATGCACTTAACGGCATCTTGGAAATCCAATGCACCTAGGACAAGATCCAGTCGCCTGGACACTGTCCTGTCACAAGGTCAAGATGGTCACACGCCATGGGTTAGGTCCACGCATTGCGAAACCTTTTCTCAGCTCAAAAGCCCAGCAAGAAACTTTCGCCAATTAAATTTGGATGCACAGTAGACCTCATCACGTGTGGTGGACGAACAACACACCCACAGGCACTCACAGAGAGAGAGAGAGAGAGAGAGAGAGAGAGAGAGAGAGAGAGAGAGAGAGAGAGAGAGAGAGGGGGGGGGTGCGGGGGGGAGAAAGACGGAAATATAACCAGGCCTTTTCCATCGCGTGCCCAGGTTAAAACCCAGAAGTCGTGCCCATAAACAGAATACTGTCTCGAAAAATGACACATACTGGCATCTTCGACATTATAATAGTTCATTAAGAAGAAGGACAGGCAGTAGAAGAAGGATGAACAGATTTAGAAGGCTAATGAGATGGAGGAATAGAAAAAGAAGATGATGATAAAGCAATACTAGTATTAGTACTAGCAGAAGTATCTGTGTTTGCAGTAGAAGTAGTAGTTGTAGTTGTATAAGTAGTAGTAGTAGTGATGGTGTTAAAAGCAGTAGTAATGGTGGTTGTGGTAGTAGTAGTGTTGGTTTTGCTAGTGGGTATAGTGGCTGTGATAGTAGTAGTGGTTGTGGTAGTAGTAGTGGCTGTGATAGTAGTAGTGGTTGTGGTAGTAGTAGTGGCTGTGATAGAAGTAGTGGTTGTGGTAGTAGTAGTGGCTGTGATAGTAGTGGTGGTTGTGGTATTAGTGGTGGTTGTGGTAGTAGTAGTTATGATTTTGCTAGTGGGTATAGTGGCTGTGATAGTAGTGGTGCAAAACACCTATATTTAAACGGGTCAGCAGTTCATGAATGATGTATTCCACGTCACGCTAGCTGCCTATACTTTCCTTGACATTTCCTAGTACCCATTTTAGATTGTACCAGGCTGGATCTACATATGGGCTTTTTAATGATGATATTGATTTGTTATATGATCAGTACGATCTGATCAAGGCACACAGACACTCTCAGAACGACGTGTAGGTAAACTGCTACTTCAGGTAATTTCTCACCAAACAACAGTTGGCACCTTTCCGTCTCTCCTGATGATAGTTGTATATTGTGCTATCAGGAGGCATAGGACTCACTGCCCATGGCGAGTGTGACGGTCAGGGTTGAACTTCCTACACTCAGTAGGACAAAGCCTAGACTGTATTGTAGTGACCATGTGTTGCCCGTTCATCGTATCCTTTGCTCGACCTGCCTTGTTTTAATCCAAAGGAAAGGTAACACTAGTACGTATGGAACAAAGCATACTGCAGAATTTGCCGGGTCAAAAAGGCAATGCTGTGTCTGTCTGCCTGTCCGAGCTTACCTTGCCAAATATTTTATCAGTGAATATCGAACATATTGTCCTCAATATATATATTCTTTGTATGTAGGCATCTCGCAGGCACTCACGCTTGCGCTAGCGTACGCGCTCCCACACACACATACTAATATATATATGTGTGTGTGTGAATGTGTGTGGAAGTGTGTGTGTGTGTGTGGAACATATTTTAACCATGACTCACATTGATTGGTAAGTTTCTTTGTTAAATATTGTTCAAAGGAAATTAAGAATGATTGACATCAGCATGTCCTGGCTTCTGCTGGCGACACTGTCCAGTCTGACGATTCTCTGGGTGTGGATAAAGACAAGATTCCCGTACTCCAAACTCAACATACCTCCATTTCCTGTTCAACCCTGGCTTCTGGTTGGTCACTTTCCCGCTATGTTTGGGAACCTTCGAGACAAGCTGAAGGAGTGGCGGCAGACTGGCGGGGACATCTACAGCCTTGTCCTGGGTGGAGAGTTACATATCGTGGTTAATGACTTTGATGCCATCAAGGACATCCTGACCAAACAAGCTGACAAAATTGTCAACCTTCCAAAGACGTTTGCAGAAGAGGTTCTTCAAGAACATAACACGGGTATAATTTCTGGACGGGATGATAACTGGAAAGAACAAAGAACAATCTCTTTGTCAATTCTTAGGTCGTTTGGAATGGGGAAGAACATAATGGCGGATAAAATTGGCGAAGAGGTGGCTGTTATTATCGATAAGCTTGCTGCCTTGAGAGGTGAACCAACTGACGTTCGATTCCTCCTGAACATTAGTGTGTCAAACGTCATCTGCTCTGTTACTGTTGGGAAACGGTTCGAACACGACGATCCATATTTCTGTAATTTAATTGCTCAGGTCAACTGTCTAATGAAACATCTGAACGCCGTGGTTTTGTTAACTCCCTTTAAACAACTCTATTATCTCCCTGGAGATATTTTTAAAGCCAAGAAGTGGGTCAAAGCCACGCATGAAGTAAATGAAATGTTTAGCAAGGCGTTTGTCAGTAAGCTAAAAACAGACTTCAGTGAAGATCAAGAAGCTGATAATTTTGTGGTCGCATATCTACAAGAAATGAAGAAAAAAAATACTAAAGGAGCGAACAGTAAACTGGACGAAAGGAACTTGATTGCAATAATTAGAACTTTGTTCCTAGCAGGTACAGAAACCACAAGCACCACTATCTTGTGGTGCCTGTTGTACATGTTGCATCATCCTGAAGTACAGAACAAAGTCTACCAGGAGATCGAGGCACATGTAGGAACCACCCGAGTTCCCAATATGTCTGACAAACCGAGGCTGGTGTATCTCAGCGCCGTCATCATGGAAACTCAACGTCTTGCCAGCATTGCACTCACAGGTCTGCGCCGAGAAGTCAGCAAAACGTTTGAATACCGAGGCTTCACTTTTCCCAAGGGCAGCATCATTTGGCCGGTCTTAGATTCCGTTCACCACGACAAGAACATCTGGGGTGATCCGGAAACATTTCGTCCCCAGCGGTTTATTGACGACAACGGAGCCCTGATCAACCACGAGAAACTGATCCCGTTTTCCATCGGCAGAAGAGCATGTCTGGGCGAATCTCTAGCCAGAATGGAGCTCTACCTGTTTCTGTCCGCCATGTTTCAGCGGTTTATCTTTGAGCCGGCAGACGGCTCCGGTCAGTTGCCGACATTGAAGGAAAACTTTGGTGGCACAATGGTTCCCTTTCCATTTCAACTCAGATTTATAAAGAGACGATGCTGAACAATGACGGTTTTACTATAGGAGATTAGCTTCCTGTTGTAGACACATACAGCAATGATTTTGTTTTGTTTTAACTTACTTACTTACTTACTTAGTCGCTCCTCTTCTACCTTGGGGTGTAGAGGTTTGCCAGAGAGATCGCCAGACGTCTCTATCAGCAGTTTTCTTTCTGGCTTTGTTCCATTCCAGCCCTCTGTCAGTTAGGGACTGCCGGATGTTGTCTTCCCAGCGCACCCTGGGTCGTCCCGGAGGTCTGGTTCCCTGGTTCTTAGTATCCCATGCCTGCCATGGTGGCCGATTTTCTCCCATTCTGCATACATGTCCAAACCATCGTAACTGGTTTGTTTTAACATGAATACCTTAAATAACTCGTTGTTGACAAATATCAAAGGTATGGTAATTAATGTCGCAACAAATTAACTATTTACAATTTAAAACATCAGTTGCAGACAAGACAATACATGTAAAAGACTTTTCTGTGAAGTCAGTAATTTGCGTTTATTGAGTGCCCTCTCCGGTGGGAAAGAGTCGTTTAAGTGTGTCCTTATTGTCAACATTGCACATCCACACAATTACAGTTCTGCATATTTGTTTTCTGTCTGCAACTGGTAGCAAACAGGTAAAACTCTGCAAACTGGCACAATGTATTTTGGGTTTCAACGAAAACCTCATTTAATATAAATAATTGTTATATTTGGTTTGACAGGATTGCGTGAAAGTGGAAATAAACAAGAAACAATGTCCCTTCTGGCAGGCTGACCTGCCAGGGCCTGTGTGCGACGAGCCATCGTGTTATTTGTAATCTCTCCATGGAAACTAGCACATTCAGATATATGAAACTTTGCTCTGAAAGCGTACTGTGATTTCTGTAATTTATTGTTACTGTATGTGTGTCAGTGTTATTTTGTTTATGTATTCTGATGAAGTCTCTCTTGTAGCAACGTTCATTTTGTTTCACTTATGTTTGTAAAGCTATTTCTACTTTATATGGTTTGTTTTTCTGCTAATCAACCTCGTGCACGTTAACAGACAGCTGGGATCGACATCAGCCGCCAAGTTCATGTCAAGGAACCGATCAAGTGTAGCCGGATATATCATGTACAGAAAACAACTCATACAGGTTGTAGATGCCGAATCTGAGCATCCTATGACGTTTGATGGCAGCAAATACTTTACCCACATGCAAAATAGGATAGAAGGACACACTTATCTGTCTTTCGCTTTTTCTTCGCCTCTCTGAGGTGTTAAATTGAAAGATGTTGAAGAGGAAACGGTTGTCTGCCTGGAATAATGTTTCTTGTTTGACTCTAGCCAGGGCATATTTTTTTTCCTAGAAAAAGCAAACTGTGCGCTGTATTTAAAAAAAAAACAGGACGGTACTCACATATCTATAAATAACAAGTACCGGTATTGTCCAGAAAGTGTTTATTACCAGGTAAAATTATGCTAATAAACTGTGGCGAAACTACGTACCGTTGCATACCACCTGATTCTAGAACAAGATATGTACAGAATTATGGCACCTGGATGCGTCTTGTGGTCAAACTAATGCAAGTTGACTGTTATTTACTAGAACAATTTAGGCGAGTACCCAGGAAAATAGGACAGTTGTCCTTTCTGAAACATCTCCACTTGGATCGCGATCAAAAGGTGAGAGTCAAACCGGTTAGGTTTAAGTTAGTGCCGCAATGTCGTTTGCTTTCTGGGTTGTCTTGCATTTACGTTTTTTATTTCGAGAAAGAGAATACCTGTGACATAGATTGCAGCACTCTCTAGGAGGGCTGTGTTAGACCCAGTTTGTCCATATATTTATAGCGTTTAAAGCGCCGGCGTGCTGAAATGTACAACACGCGATATCAACGGCATTGAGGAATACCCCTGTTACCTTGTGCCAAGGTGACAAGCTCAGAAACTACCAATCAGAAGTGAGCTGGTGTGTATATGGGTGGTCCGTATGGAGACTAACGTTAATTTTACAGGCAAGCCTTCTGTCGGAAAATTAAATGTAAAAAAAAAAAAAATGTTTAAATTGCGAAAGAGGGATTGACCATTCAACATTATTGTACGGTGCAATACTGTCAAACTGTCTTCACTATCTGTTTTTACCAGTTGCATATCATGAGAGATGTGTGTGAGTGTGTGTGTGAGTGTGTGTGTGGGGTGAGGTGGGAGAGGGTTCATGTCTCTGTAGATCTGAGCCTGTGTGGCTATTGCAGTGCAGGTAGTGTTGTTTATTTCCTGCTAAAAACAGTTTGAAACATACGAACGAGCCTTATTTCCAGAGGGCTACAAACTTGGCACGCACGCCCATCGTACAGTCGGCCGTTTCCAGCAATCATCTTTCATACGGCAATTGTATTCTATATATCAAGTATGTTTTTTCGTATATCAAAATTCCTTATACCAATGTGAAGTAAACGTACTCACTACGGGCGGTATCTTACCTTCCCCAGTGCTCCGCGCTATAGTGTCTACATATTTGTTGTCATTGTACTATGTACTCTGAGCCAATATTTAAATAATAATAATAATAATAATAATAATAATAATAATAATAATAATAATAATAATAATAATAATAAAACTAATAATGAGGTTTTATGACCCCGTTGCGGGAATTCAACATGTTTGTCAGGGCTTGCTCTATCGTGGCTAATGTGCGTGACGAAGTGGATTAGAAGAATACAGCGTACAAAAATGTGGCTGTGTGCAGAACCTGCAGAATTATACAAGAACATGCACAATAATTAGCTGTGGTAATATACATGTCAATGTATGACAATCGTGGTCCAGCTCCATGTAATCCGCTGTCACTATGGCGTGTAGAATATGCAGCCCTAACATTTGGGTTCAAGCCTAAAATGGGAGTATGGAAACAAGTTAGTTGTAGTGATGTATGTTAGCCAAGCAGGTGCCGTCTTCGCAATGTAGGTTGGTAGAAATGAATGCTGGACACTGTTTCTCGCCTAGCGTACATCCCGGTAGATTGATGTTTATCGATGGCGTGATGTCATCTCTCCATTTGTATGGCTAATTCTTGCTCTTCGACCTTTCACTTCTCAGTTAGATCAGTGGTTACAAGGGTGTAATGTCTTTTTACATGACCAATCTTCGTTAAGTCCTTGCAGACAATTTTTCGTTTTTTGAATCCTCACCCTGGCTTTTGGCGGGGGCCCTAAATATAGCCTAATGGCTGAACGAGATTTCCAGGACCTCTCTACGTGTGATCCTCATCCTTGTGTGCCACTTTTTGTCTCCGGCTGTTTATCTTTTGTGGGTATAAGGTACCCACTTTCAAGTCCATACCGTGTGGCTTTGGTAGTCATATCTATTCACAACCTCCTGTCTCGTGTACTGTTAATCAGCTCGGACACAGATGATCCTCAATGCCATGATGTCAAACTCTTCAGCATCTTTTCTCTCAGTCTCCATGTATCTTTGATGCCCTCTCTTCCCTGACTTTCATGATGTATTCCAGTTTTTTGCATTCTGGTCAAATGAACAAGGAATGTAGATTATCTACTTCTGATGTGGGCGATCAGTTCTCTTCATGAGTCAGTTTCTTTCAAGACATCTTCATTACTCTTTTAATCTGTCCAGGGTATTCTCATTGTTGGTCTATAAAACACACCTCCGTAGCTTCGAATTAATCTTTCACTAATCTACCCAGTAGCGCAACTGTTGTCCGTCTTTCTCGTGTCTTTAAATAATTGTAATGTTATTCCCAGCTGCACCAGATCCACATTCTGTTTTAAAATATATTTGCAAATAAGTGCGCACTTGACAGTTGTATCAATGGGTTGCCTCGAGCTGAATACAAACACAATATTTCCATTTTAAAGAAAGTAATATACACACTTTCCTGAAGAAATAAACATCAGTTTTTCTGGCTAGACTGTTGATTTATTTAGTGATAAATTTGACGTTTTGCAATCAACTGTCAATAGAAGACTGAGCTGATCTAACTGAATAAAAGATTCCCTTATAGAACATGCGCTCTTGCCCAATAAGGTCAGTGGCTGCTCTACAACCAAGAGGATAGGCTGCAAGAACACGATAACAGGTTAACATAACATAACCCTTGACCCGTTAGGGTCATGGAGATGTATCCATGGAAGACGCATCACACGACAGGTTGAGCTCAAAGTGAGAAATTACAACATTAAGATCTTGGTTGCACATCCTGCACACGGAGATGTAGAACCAACCTCAGCATTCTAGGTTCTTGTGGTTTCACTAGTTAATTTTACGTTCAGTAGTTTTTCGGTGCTTACTAAATAGTCTCTCGATACCAGTGTCGAAACCAACGTAAGGCGGTTTGCTGTCAAATCGCCCGCAGCTGGGATGGAACCCGGCACCGCGTAATTAGGAACATACAGTTAAATACCCTCCCCCCCCCCCCCCTTTCAACACCCCCACCACCATCACTACCACCACACAAAAAGGATTGATACTGTTACTTCATTTAGACATTTCGGTATTTTCTTGGAGTAGCCGATGTTTTCTCGTCCCTCTTCTGTTGGGTTTATGTGTGTTTGTGTAATTAATTGTGAAGTACATACATTGTCGGAGACATGGAGAACACCTCAAACAATTACTAACAAACTGTGAACATTCATCAAGAGCTGCTTTCGCAGAATACAGGAAATTAAATGGTATAATAGAATCACTAATGTAAGTTTTGGGGAACAATTATTTCGTGTTCTTAGTCACCCCCTTGTGGGATGCAAATTTTTTTTTGAAGCCCCACCCTGGCTGTTGCCAGGGGCCGCAACAAAACTTAAAGGTTGAACGCGGTTTCCGAGACCTCTCCACGGGTGATCCTCATCCGCATGGTGGCACTTTGTGTCACTGGGTGTTTATCGCTTGTGTGATGTCCTGTTGTGGTAAAATATACTTACTTTCAATAAACAAGTAGAAATGAGCTGGAGAGTAAAAGGGGGATAGCGAAGGATAGCACGACTTGGCGTAAGTTGGTTGAGGGCCTATGCTCCATTGGGGGAAGATAGCAGAAGAACAAAAAAGGATATTGTTCACTGGAGCATGGTGTATATAGTGGTTGACTCCAATGTTTATGGATCAACGCCTCGCTCGTCGTCGGGCGCCTTAATATAACCTGACAGTTGAACTAGGTTTCTCAGTCTTTTGAATGGTTGATTCCCATCCGAATTGTGACACTTTGTGTCACTGGGTGTTAGTCCCTCGCTGCGCGGTCTTGACGGAGTTGAACGTCACTCACTCGGCAACACTCTACAACCGTACATATAAATTATGTCACAATTTTTTGTCATACCTTTATTAATTTAAAAAGTGGTGACGTTTCCTGGTTTAAAAGTATGATAGTTACAAGACAGAACTGGCTATTTTCGTTTAGCTGTATATTTAAATTAACCCATCTATATTTGTACATGTCAACACGTGACGACACAGATTCTTCTTGTTGATATTCTGAAGTAACATTCCAATTGAAGCAATGATAAAGCCGGTCGAATAGAGTTAAACAAAGCAAGAGTCAGGGATACGATGAAAGGCAAAGGAGAAGAAGGGGACGATGATACATATTAGGAGGAAAACTAAGGGTTAGAAGGTGTGGCTGATTTAAAGATTTAAGCATCGACATCATAGCACACCGGGCATACCCATAGGTGATCCGTCTCCCGTAGCAAATGTCTTGAGGTGTAGATGTAAACTGTGCCCGTGCTGACTGTTTATACACGCTTCGTTTGTTTCCTCTCATACGTTCCTCCTTGCCGAATCCACATCTAATTTGACGTTCACACATTCTTAGACAGGTTGCTTCATCCAGCCTCTTCTCTTCTATCGACATTCCTTCGTATATAGGCTTCCAAATGTCTTCCTCGTCTAGTACGAGTGTTCCCGTAGCAATCGCTGATGGAAGCGAGGAGGTTAGGGGCATATGGCTGGAATGGGTGGCTGTAAATGGCACTGCAAGAGTTTTAATCAGGAGGTACGTGGGTCAAACATCTGATAACAGAATACACCAATGTGATGTAGCTGACAATATCATTTCTAAGCGTATATTACATAATTGCAGACGTGATGTGTTGATTTTTCTTGTCGGTGATGTGGAGAGTTGAGAACAAGTAACTTCTGTTTGCTCGTGCACACGTTCGGCGTATCAGGGTTAGAGTCTTCTCTCTTGTTCTCTTATGATGGTCAGCTAGATCCTTTATCGTTGTTGAACTGCTAGGACCTTATGCTTTTCTTTGGATAGTTCCATAAACGGTCTTACAGCAGAGTATGTGGGCCACAGAAAAATAGAAGACTCGCTTTTAAACCCAGCTTCGACTTGATGCGACTCCAGCCCTCAGCCGGTGTTTGAAACCAGGTGGTTCAGGGGTTTCATCCAGCCTTGAGGTAATGGGTACCAGAGTTAAAAGTCTAGGGTAAATGGAAGAACGTCGCTATAGCTACGGAGTTTCGCGCGGACGGCGACACAGGTGGGCAGATTCTTATTAGCTGTCCATACTGGTGGCCGAGCACTTATAGTTTAAATCAGTGTGCAATGACACTGGTTCACATCTGCCGACTTTACCTTTTTTTTTCTTCAAACACAAAACGAGATAACGAGGATAAATCACAAAGATACATGTCATTTCATCTCTGGCTGGTTTTTTGTTAAATATATATATATATCTAAAAACAAACAGAGAAGCCTTTTCGCTGATCCAAAGAGTAGAAGGAGACTTATTCGGAAGCCCCCCCCCCCTTTTTTTTAAATATATATATATATATATATATATATATATATATATATATATATATATATATATATATATATATAGATTTGACTAATCAATGTAGCCAGTTACTTTCTTTCGATGAATCTCATCTGAAATGGCTGAGGCACAAGCGTTGTTCCAATCGTTGCTTTCAGAGATGGAAGTTCAGCAGATTTGTTTTCTGCTTCAAATCTAAACCTCTGAAACATGGCGGAGAGAAATAAGAACAGCTCCATTCTGGCCAAAGCTTCTCCCATGCAGACCCTTCTACCAATGCCGAACGGGATGAGTTCTTCACGGTTGAGTAGGCTTCCATTCTCATCAATGAATCTTTCAGGCCGGAAGTTCTCTGGGTCTCCCCAGATTTTGGGATCGTAGTGAACGGAATCTATAACTGGCCAGATAATACTTCCTTGAGGTATGCTAAAGCCACGGACAGTGAAGCTTTCTGAGACTTCCCTGCGTAGTCCTATTGGAGCGATAGCTGCCATGCGTTGGACTTCATTGATTACAGCGTTGAGGTAGGTTAGTTTGGGTTTATCAGCCATGTTTGGCAGCCGTTCAGTGCCTACATTAGCCACGATTTCACGGAAAACTTTCTCCTGAACTCTGGGATGGTGCAACATGTAGAGCAAGCACCACAGGATGGTAGTGCTGGTCGTGTCTGATCCGGCTGCGAAAAGGGTTCTGATGATGGCAATCAAGTTTTTCTCATTCAAGTTGGACTGCACCTTCTTATCTTTTTTCTTCTTCATTTCCCTGAGATATGCAGTAACAAAATTCTGTGGCTCTTCATTTTCGTTATATTCTCTCTGATACTGACGAACGTATGGCTTACTATAACCTTCGGTAATTTCTGCAGTCGCTTTGGCCCATTCTTTAACATGTAACAAATCTCCAGGAAGATGTACCAACTGTTTCAAGGGGGTCAGAACCTGCATGTTTCCGATATACTTGACAAAAGTATTTAATCGTTGAATCAAACTCAAGAAGTCCGGATCTTCATAGTCAAATCGTTTGCCAACAGCGACAGAAGAAATGACGTTTGCGACACTCGCGTTCAGAATCAGAGCCACGTCTTTGGGTTGTCCTTTCAGGGAAGCCAGTTTGTCGTTAATTACTGCAGCTTCTTCTAGAATTTTCTCAGCCATCAGATTCTTTCCCATTCCAAAAGTTCGAAGAATAGATATGGATGTAGATCTTTGTTCCTTCCAGTTCTCATCTCTTGCTGAGGTTATACCCGTGTTGTATTCGTCGAGAATCTCATCGCCGAAACTATGTTGAGTGTTGACAATTTTGTCCGCCTGTTTAACCCAGACTTCTTTGATGTCGTCAAAGTTGTTGAATAGAACGTGAAGCTGCCCCACCAGGTCAAGGCTGTAGATGTCCCCGGCTTTCTTCCGCCAGACTTGGATTTTGTCCCTCACGTCCCCAAACAACATGAAGAAGTGCCCAACAACGGGCCACTGTCGTACGGGAAATGGAGGCACGTTAAACTGAGCATAAGATTTTCTGGTCTTTTTCCACAACCAGTAAAAGGTGATCAAACCCACAGGTGCCAGGAGCAGCCAGAAGGTGTTGCTTTCTATCGACATGATCTTCAATGATCCTGTGGTTCACCCTGAGAGCTGAAATTGTAAAATGGTTTCCTAAATAACAACTACATTCAGAAAAAACGCAACATTCATATAACTCAATAAATTAGCAACAGTGTTTTAAAACTGCTTAGACTAATCCTCGTGTTGCTGTTGTTTTTTTCTTGTTATCTGTTTCTTCTTCTTCTTCTTTTTCTTCTTCTTCTTTCTTCTTCTTCTTCTTCTTCTTCTTCTTCTTCTTCTTCTTCTTCTTCTTCTTCTTCTTCTTCTTCTTCTTCTTCTTCTTCTTCTTCTACTTCTTCTCCTTCTTCTCCTTCTTCTTTTTTCTTCTTCTTCTTCTTCTTCTTCTTCTTCTTCTTCTTCTTCTTCTTCTTCTTTTTCTTCTTCTTCTTCTTCTTCTTCTTCTTCTTCTTCTTCTTCTTCTTCTTCTTCTTCTTTCTTCTTCTTCTTCCTTCTTCTTCTTCTTCTTCTTCTTCTTCTTCTTCTTCTTCTTCTTCTTCTTCTTCTTCTTCTTCTTCTTCTTCTTCTTCTTCTTCTTCTTCTTCTTCTTCTTCTTCTTCTTCTTCTTCTTCTTCTTCTTCTTCTTCTTCTTCTTCTCCTTCTTCTTCTTCTTCTTCTTCTTCTTCTTCTTCTTCTTCTTCTTCTTCTTCTTCTTCTTCTTCTTCTTCTTCTTCTTCTTCTTCTTCTTTTTTCTTCTTTTCTTCTTCTTCTTCTTCTTCTTCTTCTTCTTCTTCTTCTTCTTCTTCTTCTTCTTCTTCTTCTTCTTCTTCTTCTTCTTCTTCTTCTTCTTCTTCTTCTTCTTCTCTTCTTCTTCTTCTTCTTCTTCTTCTTTTTTCTTTTTTCTTCTTCTTCTTCTTCTTCTCTTTTCTTCTTTTTCTTCTTCTTCTTCTTCTTCTTCTTTCTTCTTCTTCTTCTTCTTCTTTCTTCTTCTTCTTCTTCTTCTTCTTCTTCTTCTTCTTCTTCTTCTTCTTCTTCTTCTTCTTCTTCTTCTTCTTCTTCTCCATCTTCTTCTTCTTCTGCTCCTTCTTCGTCTTCTTCTCTTTTTCTTCTTCTTCTTCTCGTCTGTCCATCCTCTCCCTTTATCTTCCTCTTTGACTTTGTTTTGTGCTGCTGAGTCTGGTACTGCAGATAACTACGCTTCGAACCCGTTTACCCGACAAGCCTATCATGTCTCGTCTGTGCTGTCTTGAGGTCACTTCAGAAACAACTTCTCACGGTTACAGATAGCATAAGTACCTTTGGGGCTGGAAACAGAAGGGAAACTGCTCCATCCAATGAATGAGGTCACAATGCTTGCTGGTGCACCGGAGTTGTGCACTGTATTCTTCAGACTCAGGCTGGATTTAGGGTTTGTAAGGAGCACTTATGGGTAACACCAGTGTGCTATGATATTGATTCGTTGAGTAAACATAAACAGTTCAGTCCACTGTAAAAACGTAACTGTTTTTATTGTCGTTTACAACTTAGCTGTTGATGTTGCTTCTACTGTTCGTTACTGTTGGTGTCAACACTGCTATGCTTACCACCGTATCTTCATACTCATGTCTGTTTGCTGCGTAGTTTCGAAGCATAGCGTCCGCCTCGCGTGCTGGAGATCTCGGGTTCAAATCTCGGGGGAGGCTGGGATGTTTTCATGTGGACTCCTAGAGATTTCCGCTGGTCTCTGGGTAGTAAAATCGGACGCCCTTGTGTATTGTTGCGCACGTAAACAATTCTTTGGCTGTTGGACATTAAAAATAGTAGCCTAACGGCGCTTCCTGGTCACAATTTGGAGTTAAAAAATCTACCTAAAGTATTTCAAGATTCTAGCCGGGGTTACGGAGCTCGTGCACTGCCTGAGACTCTTCGGACTCAGACTTGATTTAGAAGTAGAATGGAGCACTTATGGGTTACTACTATTTTACCTTGATGTTGACTTGAAACAATAAATACAGTACGGCAAGTCATTCTCGGTGGCGCAGTGGCTAGACCCTAGTTTGACAGCGCTAAGATCTGAGGTTCAAACCCGCACAGCAGATGGTCAATTTTGTATAACTGAACTCGGCTCCCAGTTTGACTCAACCTAAAATGTGTACCGGGATGTGATGTGGGAAGTAAAAGTGGCCGGTATGACGTTGAGCAGACCCTCTACCCAGTACTGATTGGTCTATAAACATAAGTCTAGCAGCACATACCTTCAGTGCCAGCGGCAGGCAACTGATCGTAAGCTTGATGTGACTGACAGTAATCAGTCGGTGACTGACAGTAAATCAGTCGGTCACTGACAGTAAATCAGTCGGTGGCTGACAGTAAATCAGTCGGTCACTGACAGTAAATCAGTCGGTGGCTGACAGTAAATCAGTCGGTCACTGACAGTAAATCAGTCGGTCACTGAGAGTGAATCAGTCGGTCACTGAGAGTGAATCAGTTGGTCACTGACAGTAAATCAGTCGGTCACTGACAGTAAATCAGTGGAAAAAGATCTTTGAGTTTGAGCTACATTGAAACAACTGATGACCTCACCTGAGAAATCTATTGTCACTTATTTCCCACACGGAGATTGACTCTGTCTACTGAATTATCATCGCCTTCTGTAAAATGAGTGTCCACCCTTCTACAGCTAACCCAGTTATATAATACGTGCCCTATTGTTTCGTTACACTTTCCTAAAATATTTGTGTAACTTTTTTTGGAAGAGTGCATCTAACTGTAGCTTAGACATGACTAATTAGTCAACATAATGTCTAGCATTAACGATTCATCTAAAACACGTTATACATTATAATATGTTTTTTACAGTTCATGTCGTTTGCTTCTGTGAAATGTTTCAAGGACATTCGTGTTTAGTAACCTTTAGTATTTCTCCTGTCACTCTGCACTGCCCCTGGATTGGTCTTCCCGTGGCACGTTCAGATAGGCTAGTAATTACCGCCTGTTGGCACCGTTCCATCCTTCCAGATGAAGTGGTAAATTGTGATAATGGCCAACACAGCAAATCACAGCCTATGGTGGTGGCGACTATGACTAGCAAGACCCGCTCGGGTTGAGAACAGGTTCCCACAATTAGGGCATGCGATTTCTGCATCATTGTTGCCTTCGTTCGTATAAATTTATAATTCTTCTCCCAGTACGAGTAGCTCCTTATCAGTGTGCAGTCATTCCTTTCTTTATGTCTCCCTCTTCCTTTCCGTTGCTCTTCTAACTGCAACACTGTCCCTAACATCCAGTTCCTGGGTTCCCCTCACTGCAACACTGTCCCTAACATCCAGTTCCTGGGTTCCTCTCACTGCAACACTGTCCCTAACATCCAGTTCCTGTGTTCCTCTCACTGCAACACTGTCCCTAACATCCAGTTCCTGTGTTCCTCTCACTGCAACACTGTCCCTAACATCCAGTTTCTACGTTCTTGTTTGGTACTCTTCATAAAATGTACCCTCACACTTGAAAAAATATCTGGAAAATCTTTGGTGCTCATATTGGGACACCCATAAAGTTTGCACCATCGGCACATGGTAGATGATATGGTCGACAACACTCCCCGCGGCCTTTACTTTGCTGGACTGTACGTGGTATTTCTATAAGCCTGAGGCGACTTTGGAGATCATTATTTGTAAACAATCTGGCAAGATGCGGATTGGAATCCGCGACGTTTAATCACGTCTGCAAGAGTCTAGCCGCTGCACCACGACGGCTGCAGCTAAAGGCGAGGATTTAACTACATTACACACGACACTGTAGGGTTGAACAATATAATATGAGGTATTCTAGAATTAAACTATGTAATGCAAGATAAACTCTATATTTGAACTATCTAATACCATAGATTACAACTGAATTATATTGAGAAAGAGACTAGAATTCCACTATATCACCAGGAAGGATAATCTGCTCAACAAATGCCTGCACAAGTCGGATGTCTCGGCCGAAATTTACAAATATCGCAGCTATGCTGTAAATGGGTCCAACGCAAATTACATCTTCGGATGAGCACAGATGAAGAAAAAACTACATCGTAATACACACACACACACACACACACACACACACACACACACACACATACACGCACCACTCACACAAAGAATTTGATTAGTGATGCCTATTGTGAAGGATTGCCAACGCTGCTGTAGACAAGCCTTTGTACCTGTGAGATATGTCAGTACAAGAATTCATCACTGTAAAACCAATAGAAGAAACTAGGGCCATGAAACAAAACGAAAACAAATTACCGTGGGAAATAAACCCCGTCAGAAATCAGTAAAAGACAAAAGGAAAGCTGGAAAGAAATGTATATAAAATTAAGGAAAGAACCACATAGATAAAGATAGAAAGAAAGAAAACAAGAAAACAAGAAAGAAAACAAGAAAGAAAGAAAGAAAGTTATATGTTTGGATTTAGATGGCGATCGAACGATCTTTATTTAAACTGAACGTTTGACATCATCATTCACTCCCATACCTCCCGCAAAAGGAAAGCTGTTGCGCTGTTAAGAGAACTAGGAACTTTGAGTCCTCACATCCATGGACTAGCTCCCACGCACAATCTCGTGATTTTGTGTAACGTAGACAAAATTTGACAGTTCTGTGCCACACTATTGCTCCTGCCAGTCGCTGTCTGAAGCTCCCAACTGTGTTGGGATATTTTAGCAAAAACTGGTAGTTTAGGGACAGAGGTGATCTCTTCCCTTGGGTTGTGACTAGAAGCTAGCACAATATGGGCTCGACACTTAGAGGAAAACTGGTAGTTTAGGGACAGAGGTGATCTCTTCCCTTGGGTTGTGACTAGAAGCTAGCACAATATGGGAACGACACTTAGAGGAAAACTGGTAGTTTAGGGACAGAGGTGATCTCTTCCCTTGGGTTGTGACTAGAAGCTAGCACAATATGGGCTCGACACTTAGAGGAAAACTGGTAGTTTAGGGACAGAGGTGATCTCTTCCCTTGGGTTGTGACTAGAAGCTAGCACAATATGGGCTCGACACTTAGAGGAAAACTGGTAGTTTAGGGACAGAGGTGATCTCTTCCCTTGGGTTGTGACTAGAAGCTAGCACAATATGGGAACGACACTTAGAGGAAAACTGGTAGTTTAGGGACAGAGGTGATCTCTTCCCTTGGGTTGTGACTAGAAGCTAGCACAATATGGGCTCGACACTTAGAGGAAAACTGGTAGTTTAGGGACAGAGGTGATCTCTTCCCTTGGGTTGTGACTAGAAGCTAGCACAATATGGGCTCGACACTTAGAGGAAAACTGGTAGTTTAGGGACAGAGGTGATCTCTTCCCTTGGGTTGTGACTAGAAGCTAGCACAATATGGGCTCGACACTTAGAGGAAAACTGGTAGTTTAGGGACAGAGGTGATCTCTTCCCTTGTGTTGTGACTAGAAGCTAGCACAATATGGGATCGAACCTTAGAGGAAAGGCAAGGCAGACATATATAGACTGTCACTGGCAACACTGGTATGGTAAATCTGCGCTGGCTGCTGAACATGATGACGGAGTGCTTATGGGAGTCCCTAGAACTGTGATGGCGGATCTTGAATCAGTTCATCAGCCCAGCCAGGTCTAAAGATTTAAAGTTTATTTTAAATAGTTTCCAGTAATCTCCTACGGCATGTTTGTCTAACTATGTCGTCATTGGGCAACTCACAACGAGTTTGTTGGTAACTCCAGACATGTTAGGCTTGACTTATCTCGTTGTGTCTGACCCAGATGTTGTGTTAGCTCCTAGTGTCTGACCCAGATGTTGTGTTAGCTCATGGTGTCTGACCCAGATGTTGTGTTAGCTCATGGTGTCTGACCCAGATGTTGTGTTAGCTCATTGTGTCTGACCCAGATGTTGTGTTAGCTCATGGTGTCTGACCCAGATGTTGTGTTAGCTCATGGTGTCTGACCCAGATGTTGTGTTAGCTCACAGTGTCTGACCCAGATGTTGTGTCAGCTCATTGTGTCTGACCCAGATGTTGTGTTAGCTCATTGTGTCTGACCCAGATGTTGTGTCAGCTCCTAGTGTCTGACCCAGATGTTGTGTTAGCTCCTGGTGTCTGACCCAGATGTTGTGTTAGCTCCTGGTGTCTGACCCAGATGTTGTGTTAGCTCATTGTGTCTGACCCAGATGTTGTGTTAGCTCATTGTGTCTGACCCAGATGTTGTGTTAGCTCATTGTGTCTGACCCAGATGTTGTGTTAGCTCCTAGTGTCTGACCCAGATGTTGTGTTAGCTCATTGTGTCTGACCCAGATGTTGTGTTAGCTCCTAGTGTCTGACCCAGATGTTGTGTTAGCTCCTAGTGTCTGACCCAGATGTTGTGTTAGCTCATTGTGTCTGACCCAGATGTTGTGTTAGCTCCTAGTGTCTGACCCAGATGTTGTGTTAGCTCATTGTGTCTGACCCAGATGTTGTGTCAGCTCATTGTGTCTGACCCAGATGTTATGTTAGTTCATGGTGTCTGACCCAGATGTTGTGTTAGCTCATTGTGTCTGACCCAGATGTTGTGTTAGCTCCTAGTGTCTGACCCAGATGTTGTGTTAGCTCATTGTGTCTGACCCAGATGTTGTGTTAGTTCATGGTGTCTGACCCAGATGTTGTGTTAGCTCCTAGTGTCTGACCCAGATGTTGTGTTAGCTCATTGTATCTGACCCAGATGTTGTGTTAGCTCATGGTGTATGACCCAGATGTTGTGTTAGCTCCTAGTGTCTGACCCAGATGTTGTGTTAGCTCATTGTATCTGACCCAGATGTTGTGTTAGTTCATGGTGTCTGACCCAGATGTTGTGTTAGTTCATCGTGTCTGACCCAGATGTTGTGTTAGCTCCTGGTGTCTGACCCAGATGTTGTGTTAGCTCATGATGTCTGACCCAGATGTTGTGTTAGCTCATTGTGTCTGACCCAGATGTTGTGTTAGCTCCTGGTGTCTGACCCAGATGTTGTGTTAGCTCATGGTGTCTGACCCAGATGTTGTGTTAGCTCATTGTGTCTGACCCAGATGTTGTGTTAGCTCATTGTGTCCGACCCAGATGTTGTGTTAGCTAATTGTGTCTGACCCAGATGTTGTGTTAGTTCATCGTGTCTGACCGAGATGTTGTGTTAGTTCATCTTGTCTAACCCAGATGTTGTGTCACCTCATTTTGCTGCAAATATGACTGTCAATCTTACTGTGAAAGTTTAAGCGTGTAAAAATGTTACAACTGATTTAGTGCAAATATTACAACTGATTTAGAGCAAATGTTACAACCGATTTAGTGCAAATGTTACAACTGATTTAGTGCAAATGTTACAACCGATTTAGATCTAGCTTTTATTAGTTCCAAGTTAAAAAAAAATGATCTGGAGAAAACAAGTCGCAATAATTACTGTTTTAAGTCTTGCCCTTAATATTCTATGAAATACAGCTAAAAGAGGTGCTAATTATCGTAGCGTAAATAACAAATATTTACTTGAATTTCGTGACGATACTTTTCATTTTTTTTTTTTTTTAATTTCTTGATATGTTTACATGTCATTCAGTAAACACACATAAGCAGATTGTTTGTTTGTTGTTAAATTAACTTAGTCAGAGATCCCAAGTAGCGGGTGTCCTTTGAATAGTTGTTCCTGGTTGTGAAGATAGACTGGCTGGTTCCTTGTCCCTTGCTGATGAATTGATGAATCACAAGCTAAATGTGCAAGGTCCTTTGGAGCCAGAGAGCAGTGGGGAGTCACAAATAAATCATTACAGTATGAGGAGAAAGGCGCTACGAGCAGTTACCAGTAGATCTGGCCGAAGCTCACAACTCTAGGGGAAGCGAGGCGGATATACAATCAGACAGTCACTAGCGCATCCAGATTGGAACTGAAGGTTGCTGCTGAAGACGGGGATGGAGCTCTTATGGGAGCGTCCTGGGTACTGTGATGTCAATTTTCAATTCAACTTAGTTAATCTCAAAGTTGGTCAGTTAGCATTTATAGTTGCACCTAAAATTGTTGGCTAAAAAACAAACGCAACCTTGTTCTTTGTTGCACACACATACTTATACGTAATTGGGTTTCCCGAAAGAGTATATCTAACAAATGGGAATTTCTATGCTTCACACAAGAACCTGATCACCAACATTAGCGACTAGGTCTCGCCGTACCGCTCGAATCCGGAAATCTCTGGGACTACACACGGCAGCGAAGGCACTCTCTAGTGTTGGCAAGCGCCCGCTTGTATCGCCTGGCTCAAACTTAAACCTTTGACACATGGCAGCCAAAAACAAGAACAATTCCATTTTGACAAGACCTTCTCCAATACATATTCTCTTGCCAATGCCAAAAGCAATGAGCTGTTCGGGAATAACTAAAGATCCGTTGCTGCCAATGAACCTCTCTGGGCGGAACTTTTCTGGATCTTCCCAGATTTGTTTATCATGGTGTATTAAAAAAATTAACGGCCATATGATTGATCCTTTCGGGATTGTAAAGCCGTGAACTTGAAACGATTCACTGACTTCGCGTCTCTGGCTAGTTGGAACCACAGAAACCATTCGCTGAGTTTCTAAGATGACGGCATTTAAATATACCAGTTTGGATTTGTCCGCCATGTTGGGGAGACGGTTGGGTTCTATGTTGGCCTTCAGCTCGTTGTAAATGTTTTCCTGCACTTGTGGATAGTGCAGCATGTAGAGTAGACACCACAACAGAGTGCTGGCGGTACTTTCCGTACCTGCAACAAACAACACTCGTACTATAGCCTTTAAATTAGCTTCATTCAAATACGACTTAGCTTTGGCGTGTTCTGTTTCCTTCATGATTGCCAGGTAAGCAGTGATGAACGTCCGCCGCCGATCACCGGTATCTGATGGCTGTGTGCATGAGGCCACGTACGTACTGATGAACTCCGTCAGATCACGAGCCGCTCTAGCCCATTTATTTATGTGGAAGAGATCCCCGGGACAGTAAACTAGGGCCCTTAGTGAGGTTAACAAAATCACGTTTGCTGCATACCGTATGATGTCTGAAACATTTCGAACCAGACGAACCAGCCGTGGGTCATCGTAGTGGAATCTCTCCCCGAGGATCATGGAAGACATAATGTTTGTCATGCACTTAATTAAAAGTTGTCGTAAGTCCACCGGTCTTCCTTTTGTGACCGTTAGAGCTTCAAGAAGAACACACAACTCCACCTGGATAATATCTGCCATCTCATCATTTCCCCTTCCAAGCGATCGAAGAATGGATATCGTTGTTGATCTTTGCACCTTCCAGTTGTTGTCTCTGGCTGTTACAATGCCTGTGTTGCTTTCTTTCAAAATATCGATGATGAGACTATGTGCCGTGTTGATGAGATTGTTTGAGTGTTTGGTCATGATTTCTTTTAGAATTCCAAAGTCCCCAACAACGATATGAGCGTCTCGTCCAAAATAGACAAGGTAGATACCGCCATATTGTTCTCGCCATTCTCTCATTTTTGCCCGAAAGTCATCTCTGAACATAGGGAAGTGTCCGAGAACTGGCCAGGGCTGGACTGGACACGGTGGTGTGTTGGGGTTCGAGTACAGAGACTTCCCGCGTCTCCGCAGCCACAGCAGAAAGGTAGCAACTGCGACAAGCAGCGAGGAAGTGACCCCGAGGCTAAAGAGATCTGCCGTCACTGAGGCTGGCATTTGTCCTGTGGATGAGATAAATTAATTCGTACAAGTATCATTTATCACAGAGTAGCAGCAGCAGCAGCAGCAGCAGTAATAGTAGTAGTAGTAGTAGTAGTAGTAGTAGTAGTAGTAGTAGTAGTAGTGGTAATAGTAGTAGTAGTAGTAGTAGTAGTAGTAGTAGTAGTAGTAGTAGTAGTAGTAGTAGTAGTAGTAGTAGTAGTGGTGGTAATAGTAGTAGTAGTAGTAGTAGTAGTAGTAGTGGTGGTAATAGTAGTAGTAGTAGTAGTAGTAGTAGTAGTAGTAGTGGTGGTAATAGTAGTAGTAGTAGTAGTAGTAGTAGTAGTGGTGGTAATAGTAGTAGTAGTAGTAGTAGTAGTAGTAGTAGTAGTAGTAGTAGTAGTAGAAGTAGTAGTAGTAGTAGTAGTAGTAGTAGTAGTAGTGGTGGTAATAGTAGTAGTTGTAGTAGTAGTAGTAGTGGTGGTAATAGTAGTAGTAGTGGTGGTGGTAATAGTAGTAGTTGTAGTAGTAGTAGTCGTGGTGGTAATAGTAGTAGTTGTAGTAGTAGTAGTAGTGGTGGTGGTAATAGTAGTTGTGGTAGTAGTAGTAGTAGTAGTAGTAGTAGTAGTAGTAGTAGTAGAAGTAGTAGTAGTAGTAGTAGCAGCAGTATTAGCAGTAATAGTAATAGTAGTAGTAGTGGTGGTGGTAATAGTAGTAGTTGTAGTAGTAGTAGTAGTGGTGGTAATAGTAGTAGTTGTAGTAGTAGTAGTAGTGGTGGTGGTAATAGTAGTTGTTGTAGTAGTAGTAGTAGTGGTGGTAATAGTAGTAGTTGTAGTAGTAGTAGTAGTGGTGGTGGTAATAGTAGTTGTGGTAGTAGTAGTATTAGCAGTAGTAGTAGTAGTAGTAGTAGTAGTAGTAGTAGTAGTAGTAGAAGTAGTAGTAGTAGTAGTAGTAGTAGTAGTAGTAGTAGTGGTAATAGTAGTAGTAGTAGTAGTAGTAGTAGTAGTAGTAGTAGTAGTAGTAGTAGTAGTAGTAGTGGTGGTAATAGTAGTAGTAGTAGTAGTAGTAGTAGTAGTGGTGGTAATAGTAGTAGTAGTAGTAGTAGTAGTAGTAGTAGTAGTGGTGGTAATAGTAGTAGTAGTAGTAGTAGTAGTAGTAGAAGTAGTAGTAGTAGTAGTAGTAGTAGTAGTAGTGGTGGTAATAGTAGTAGTTGTAGTAGTAGTAGTAGTGGTGGTAATAGTAGTAGTAGTGGTGGTGGTAATAGTAGTAGTTGTAGTAGTAGTAGTCGTGGTGGTAATAGTAGTAGTTGTAGTAGTAGTAGTAGTGGTGGTGGTAATAGTAGTTGTGGTAGTAGTAGTAGTAGTAGTAGTAGTAGTAGTAGTAGTAGTAGTAGAAGTAGTAGTAGTAGTAGTAGCAGCAGTATTAGCAGTAATAGTAATAGTAGTAGTAGTGGTGGTGGTAATAGTAGTAGTTGTAGTAGTAGTAGTAGTGGTGGTAATAGTAGTAGTTGTAGTAGTAGTAGTAGTGGTGGTGGTAATAGTAGTTGTTGTAGTAGTAGTAGTAGTGGTGGTAATAGTAGTAGTTGTAGTAGTAGTAGTAGTGGTGGTGGTAATAGTAGTTGTGGTAGTAGTAGTAGTAGTAGTAGTAGTAGTAGTAGTAGTAGTAGTAGTAGTAGTAGTAGCAGTATTAGCAGTAATGGTAGTAGTAGCAGTACTAGTAGTAGTAGAAGAAGTAGTAGTAGTAGCAGCTGTATTAGTAGTAATAGAAGAAGAAGTAGTAGTAGTATTGGTAGTAATAGTAGTAGTAGTAGTAGTAGTAGTAGTAGTAGTAGTAGTAGTAGTAGTAGTAGTAGTAGTAGTAGTAGTAGTAGTAGTAGTAGTAGTAGTAGCAGCAGTATAAGTAGTAATAGTAGTAGTAGAAGTAGTAGTAGAAGAAGTAGTAGCAGTAGCAGCAATACTAGTAGTGATAATGGCGTTACAAATACTAGTTGTAGTGGCAGTAATAGAGGTGATGATGGCAGTATTAGAGGTGATGGTGGCAGTAATAGAGGTGATGATGGCAGTATTAGAGGTGATGGTGGCAGTAATAGAGGTGATGGTGGCAGTATTAGAGGTGATGATGGCAGTAATAGAGGTGATGATGGCAGTAATAGAGGTGATGGTGGCAGTAATAGAGGTGATGGTGGCAGTAATAGAGGTAATGATGGCAGTAATAGAGGTGATGATGGCAGTATTAGAGGTGATGATGGCAGTATTAGAGGTGATGATGGCAGTAATAGAGGTGATGATGGCAGTAATAGAGGTGATGGTGGCAGTAATAGAGGTGATGATGGGAGTAATAGAGGTGATGGTTGCAGTATTAGAGGTGATGATGGGAGTAATAGAGGTGATGGTTGCAGTATTAGAGGTGATGATGGCAGTATTAGAGGTGATGATGGCAGTAATAGAGTTGATGATGGCAGTAATAGAGGTGATGATGGCAGTAATAGAGGTGATGATGGCAGTAATAGAGGTGATGATGGCAGTAATAGAGGTGATGGTGGCAGTAATAGAGGTGATGGTAGCAGTAATAGAGGTGATGGTGGCAGTAATAGAGGTAATGATGGCAGTAATATAGGTGATGGTGGCAGTTGTTGTTGTTGCTGTATTTCAGCAACAGTGTCTTAGTGGTACTAACGTAAGTAGTCGTAGTTGCAGTAGTAAACGCAGCGTGTGCACTAGCAGCAGTCGTAGTTATTGTTGCTGTTGTTGTTATAACGGTTACAGTGGTGGTAATAGTGGTAGTAGCATCAGCAGCAATGACGGTAGCATCAGCAGTATTTGTAGCAGAAGAATTAGTAGTAGCGGTAGCAGCAGCAGGAGTAGTAGTAGTAGCAGCAATAATAGCAGTAGCGGCCGCAGTAACAGCAGCAGCATCACCTACCTACTATCCAAGCACGCCATGTAAATAAATGAACAGCAGACCATCAGAGTTCAAGCGGTTGCTTTTAAAATCACCCTCGGCTTGAGGCGAGAAACAATCGACCTCTGACAGATGTACCATCTGCTTTGGCTGCACAGAACTGTCAAGTCGTTGTGATTATTTATAACACAATAAAGTAAAGGACCCTTTTCGCCCCCTTCACGCGTATTGGGCATATAGGGCTAGATCCTAATTTTATAGATCAATTGGTACTCAGTAAGGGATGCAGTCAGCATCACACCGGCCGCCTTTACTTTCCATGACTATACCTGGTACCCACTCAGGACTGTGTAGAAGCGGGAGCCAAGGTCATTTTTTGTTTAAAGAAAAGGTCCGGCATCTCCAAGACCCGAACCCACAACCTTCCGACCCGCAGGCGAGCGTCTGTGTACACAACGCTTAATCACCATCTTCAACTTTAACTGTTGCCTGAAGAGTCGTGGGTAGGGCAGGTTGCTATCCAGCGCTATGTTGGAAGTACCGCCATCTTCTTGTAACAAGCTGGAAGACTACTGTTCTTCAGCTCAACGATTTTGATTTAATCCGGCTTAAAAATGACAAGGACGCCACAGGAACAGCTTTTAGTCTTAAACAGTAAAAGTGGGGGGGGGGGGGGGATTCTGGCCACTGGATAAAAATAAGCAAAACTCATTCAGTATTCTCCTATTTGGCAGTCGCTCCGGCTTGCTATGGTCTGGCGCCCTGTTTGCCGTTGTTTGACTGCATTTGGTCTCAACGCACAGGTGTGTCAGATCGGACCGGCTGAGCGACGCTAGACTTGCTCGAGTTCGCGATAATGCTACGTTTCTTTTGGTTAGATGGTGTTAGAATTGATTTCCATTGTATATCCTCGCTAGGAGATAGTTTGATAGCAGGTCGCTATAGGTGATTTGTTGGCATATTGAAGCTTAACGCACATGTTAAATATGTTTCGGATTTTGTCATTGTTGAGGTAATCTCGCTGAGCGTATGGTCTCAGTACCATAGTTACTTGTTAGCTGAAGATAGTCAGTACTTTAGATTCTGGTCGAGCATGTTGGTTGTTGTTAATGTTGTTTTTGTGAACAACGCTGATTTTATGTTAAGTACAATAAACAGCTGTTTAATGTGATTATAATTGATTTGCTTGATTTTATTTAGGATCTATAGTCCGTGGATCGTCTAGGTGTGTGTACCCATGTAGTTAAGTCGACGTCATGTAACTCATTATATAGATATTCATGGTCTGGGTCTCAGTAAAATATTCTAGGACCTCTGCGCAGAAGAACCCCTGTCTTTTCTTTACATGTCTGTTTTTGTTGTTTAGCGAGGAACTTTTACATTTTGTCCTAATAACAATTTTCCTCACTATCTCTCCCTTCTTCTGCGTTTTTCCTCCTTCTGTTTCTTCCCGCTAGCACATTCTCTTGTCTTTAATAATTTGGATCTTGAATTCAGCTACTCGACGTTTTTTGTCTGGGACACATCATCTCAAACACAACATCTTAAACACATCATCTCAAAGCCATCATCTCAAACACATTATCTCAAACACATCATTTCAAACACATCATCTCAAACACATCATCTCAAACACATCATCTCAAACACATCATTTCAAACACATAATCTCAAACACATCATTTCAAACACATCATCTCAAACACATCATTTCAAACACATCATCTCAAACACATCATCTCAAACACATCATTTCAAACACATCATTTCAAACACATCATTTCAAACACATCATCTCAAACACATCATCTCAAACACATCATCTCAAACATATCATCTTAAACACATCATCTCAAAGCCATCATCTCAAACACATCATCTCAAACACATCATTTCAAACACATCATCTCAAACACATCATCTCAAACACATCATTTCAAACACATCATTTCAAACACATCATTTCAAACACATCATCTCAAACACATCATTTCAAACACATCATCTCAAACACATCATCTCAAA